AGCACTGGCCAGCAAAGATTTCGGCAGTGGTACCTGTTGGTGAAGGATGGGGGTCGACTCTCTTCCCAGTTGCCTAGAAACATCCATCCACTGCATGGAATACACCATCTCTGCTTTTACGGTTTTTTCTCTTCCCACATACTTGTGTCTCCCAGAACTCCAGGGTTGATCCCCAGGTTGATCTTTTTGAAAGAAAAAGTGTGGGGAACCTACTTGAAGATGTGGACTTCAGAGGTCTTTGTCTGCCCTGCCTCTGCCAGACCCAGACCACAGACTCAATGAGATGGCTATGCACAGAGAAAGTAGTAAGTTGTTATTCTTGTTTATTATTTTCAATGATTAGTTGATCTTGAGGATCAGGGTCCTCAAAGCATGCATGGACTCTCTCACTCTATCTCTCCCCCTCTCTCTTTTTCCTTCTCCTCTCCCCCCTCCTTCTTTTTCCTTCTTAGGAAAAATAAATAGCACCCTTCTAATGCTAGGAATGATTTATAAAAGCAGTAAGCTGCTACTTTCTCACTTTTCCAATCCTGGGTTAAAGATATCTGAGGTTGGCCTATATGTGCCTACCCTCAACATAGTAACATTTTAAAACGCTCTTGCATCAGCATGTGAGATGTATACAGAAGTTTTTCTCCACAATAAATACTATATAACTGACGTCATTGTGCTAAGTTTAACCCAGAACTTGCACAGATGTCTTCTTTGAGGGATTTCTGGATGTATTTGTACCTGCTCAAAGCGGGGAATGATAGGAAGACTCTAGAAGGAGGACCTGGTAGAGCTGATTCAATTCCCTTTGGGCTCATTGCTCCTCCCTCTCCCCACCTCCGAGTCCAGCTCTTTAGACCTAACCTGGATCAGCTGTCAGCTCAATACTATCTACCTCTCGTTTCCAGCTGGGTTAGACTGTCAGGCAGTCGCCCACTTCCCATGATCACAGTCATTATGTCTGTGGTCGCTGCTCGTCTCTGCATTACCATCAGACCAAGGCATGGGCTGAACAATAGCATCTCCTCCAGCAGCTTCCCTCAGCCAGGGATAACCTAGCCAGAGCAATGATAACAATACTAATATTGCATTGAGAAGCGCTCTAGTTTGTCTCACCTTCTGAGAGTCTTAGAGATGTTAACTAATTAATCTTCACTGCACTCTCTCTGTACACTGGAGGTAAATATTCTGAACCATGATGCAAGACATGTATGTATATGCTGAGGACAGCATATACATATCTATCTATCATGGTTCACTTGATAGAGTAACTGGTATTTTTAAAACACCCATCATAGATACAATAATTAGAGATACGCTTTTGTTAACAAAGCCACTACCCACTTCTAGCGTACCCTTGGGTACTAAATAATTACCCACTTTGTGTGGTTATCTAGCTCACTAATTACCCACAGAAATTGGGGTCAGGTGTTAACTGCTTCAAATAAGTATCCTCCAAAGACCTGCCTGAGTTGTATGGAGAAAATGATGTGTTCCTTAGTCTAACTTTCCTAAGTCACATATTGGTACGTCTTTGTAAGCAGAATGAGCCCAGACAAGTGCGAATTAGCTTAGTGTTGGAAGTCATGTTAAACTGTTACTGCAAATCACAGAGGTTAGGAGAATTTCCTTCTCCCCCATCTTTCCTTTCCAGGTGGGTACAGTGGCCTGTTCTCTGGCCTTCATATATGCAAGTGCATACACTGAGACAATTGAGGACTCTCCTTAGGAGTGATTCATCTTAGCGATACAGGGAGGTACCCAATGAGTCAAAGATTTTTTTTTAACAGCTCCACCCTTTTTGATTATTTTAGCATGTCTCTCCCTCTCCCTCTCTCTCTCTCTCTCTTTCCCTCACTTCTTCATCAGTCTAGTGCAAACACTCTATTAGCCAAATTTTAAAAGATTGTGACCCAGTCACCAGCTCCTTGCTCATGCCTTCCTGCTTCCCAGTCATGACAATAAGAAAAACTACGTTAAAGATACTGCAGCGTTCTATTACTTCTCCTCCTTCTCCCATTTGTCCTCCTCTCCCCTTTCCTCTTCCTCCTGTCCCTCCCTCCCCTTCTCCTCTCTTTCCTGTCCCCTGCTTTTCCATCTCATATATGCATTTCCTCTCTCCTGTCTCCTTCCTTCGGCATCCAGCCGTGGGTCTGAAGTCTCAGCAGCAGAGACAAAGCGCAATGAATGTCTGTGATGAACACAAAGAAACTACCTCTTAAAACACCCACTTGCAGGGAACCTGCGTCCTTGGCTGTCTTCCCCTCCTTTCTTGCTATTTGCAGAACCCGGTATTCTATTTTAACACAGTGCTGTCTGTTGTCTACAGGATTCTAGCCTCCTTGGGAAAACTGGGTTAAGACAACCATCTACCCACTGTGTTTACGGGTAGGTAGAGACCCTAATTTTGGGGGTGGTACCTTCTTTAAGAGGACACTGTATGGAAGGCAAGCATTTAAAATGGGTGACAACAGAAACCCTGCATGCTGCTCCCTTCGTCTTTTGGAGATGACTTCCTTTTCTCTTGTGCTTCTCCCTCCCGCCCTCTCTCCCCCTCTCTTTATTTCTTCTCTATTTTGCCATCTGAAGTATTGCTTCTCATTATTGAGGCACATTACGCTGATCAATAAAATACGCGTGTGTTGTCTGATGGGCATGGGAGGCTACAGACGCTTCAGGGATCAGGAAAAAGTCAGCAGTGGAAGGCAAGGGTGAGGCTGAGCTGTGGAGACTGACTGAGCGGCTTCCCACATCCCAGGGATGTAAGTGGCAAATTAGTGCACGTTGCAAGCGGAGGCAATCAACAAAACCCAGGCATGGAAAGGCATGAGGTTTTTAGCATTGTGATCACTATGTGCCCAAAGAGTGTCTGTGTGTCTTAAATATAGACTTGAGTTGTTGCTCTTTTACGCTTTCACACAACAGTTTCAAAGAAGTCTTTGGGCGTTGTTGACTATCTGTCCATTAAAAAAAAAAAAAAAAGGAGGAAAATTTCACAAGCCTCACCTGCGCTCATTCACGAACGTGTGTGGACGCCAGACAATTGGCCAAAGAACCGCATTTCACGGGAGGTCTCACTTCTTCACAATCCCCACCTTAATTCCCCCCACCCCCACTTTAGAAAATGAGCTATCTGAACTGTAGGTCTAGCAAAAGAAAACACACACACACACACATACACACACACACACACACACACACACGTTTGAATCTATAGAGTACAATGTCTAGTTTCCCCTGACCTGATGGTGTATTTTTGATCTCATTAGTAGTCAGGGAGATGTCTCGTGCATCCGGAGCTGCTAGTCCGGGAGGAGACATGGTTCAGCACAGAGAGAGCGAGCGGGAGAGGCTATTAGAAGAGGCTTGTCTCCAAGATATGGAAGGAAGCGAGAGATGACAGTGCTGCGAGCTTTGTATGCAGGAGCCTGGCAGGGCGGGGGGGGGGGGGGGAGGCAAGGGAACCCAAGTGGATTCTCAGAAAAGGGGGGAAGCCATCAAAGAGCTAAAGGTGATTAGAGGGGGGATATCGATTCCTTACTCTGCCAGAGGTTCAAGCAGGCATGTGAGGAATCTGCACCATGGCCGGCAGAAAGAGACCCATTGCCTCCTGTAACCAGACACTGGGGCTTTCCAGGAGCCCAAGGAGAGAGCCGAGAAGAAAGGGGGCAGTGTGGTCTAGGAAAATTCAACTTGTCGCTGATTTGTGCCTGATGCTTGCTGTCCGTCAGCAGCCTCCCTTACATGCCTTTTCCCTCTCTCTCCTTTTTCCTCCCCTTGCCTTCTTCTTCAGTGAAGCCTAGGGGAGCCAGTAAAGATTAAATGTGCTTTCTCAAAGCAGCCGCTTCATGCTGCTATGTCGAAAGGGCTATTATTATTATTAATATGAGAGCGGGAAGAGAGAGAGAGAGAGAGAGAGAGAGAGAGAGAGAGAGAGAGAGGCAGGCTAGGTATGATGATGACGGACTGGCTCTTTGGAGAGGAAAAGGGAAAGGAGAAAAAAGGAGAGACGGTGAGCTGAACGGAGGACTGTACATGAGCAGAACCTACAGAGGTGAGGAAAAAAAAGTTGTGTGTGTGGGTGTTCTAAACAGACCCTGTTCCGCGGGAAGGAGACGTGGTTTAGGGGGTGGCTGGCATGATTCTAGCTCTTCTGGTGGGGAGGAGGCGAGCCTAGCGCTCTTCACTGTGCCTAGTTGTATATGAAAGTATATAAAAAATAGTTAGCTTTTTTCTTTCTTTCTCTTTATTATTATTTTTTTTTTAACTCGGAGTAGAAGAGCCCCCTCCAGTGTCTTCCTTAGGGCCGGTGCTTTGTTATTCTGTGTGCCCAGCCAGCCATCTACTTTGCTCAGGCCTGGGATAAAAGAAAGAAAGGAGGGGTGAGGGGAAAGAATTTTTTTTTTTTTTAAGAAGCATCTTCCCGTCGGCTTCCCCTCCCTTTTGGTTCTTTTTTTCTTTTTCTTTTCTTTTTTCTTTTTTTCGAGTCTGCACAGGAAAGCCAAGCTCTGCTTCCAGGCAGAGGAGGTTGGGGAAAGCGACTCTATCAGGTACCACACTAGTGGCTGTCTGTGAAGATGGAGGGGGATTATGCTTCGGATTCCTCTGAAATATTGGCCAACGGCTTCAAAGGATCCGCAGCGGGAGGCGAGGGTGGGGGAGCATCTCCCCAGCTCGCACCCACCCCTTCCCACTTTGCGTCTACCAAATGACAGGCTGGTGCTCGCTCTGGGTGATTTTGGCCTTGGCCTCAGCCAAGCAGCTGATGCAGAGGAGGGCCCGCTTTGCAAGACTGGCGGAACTCTGCCTGCTAGAGAAAGAAGAAGGAAAAGGAAAAAAAAAAATTCCAAGCAGTCCTTGGGAAATTTTCTCGTTCTCTCTCGATTTATTTATTTTTAATTTTTTAACCGACTGTTTTCCAAATTTGATCAGCCCCAGCCCCTCCCTCCACTCCCACCCAACTGCCTCTCTCCCCCACCCCCACCCCCGGTCAAAGCATAAACCTCAGAGTTACGGTCTTCTCTGGATTTTGGAGTATCGCTTCCTGCCCCCGCCTTCCCTCCCCGCCCCATTCTCTGTCCTATTGAACACCTCGCCCAGCCTAGCGCACTGCAAGCTCACATTCTCCCCCCGGCTCCGGATGGCGCTCCTGGAAGCTCTTCAGCCGGGCTCCACTTCAAATGGGTGAGTTCAAAACCCTTTCTAACCTCCGATTCCTGCCTCCCCCAAACCTCATCTCTTAGGATTGTTGCATGTGGCACGCTTGCCCTGGGGGAAGGCAGAGGGTTATTTTCTTCGCCTTAGTCATTCGTGCTAGTTACGAATGAAAGCCTTGAATAGATATTTAATCCCGATTATAGATCACGGGTTTTTTGTTTTGTTTTGTTTTTATTAACCAAATAGAAATAAACATTTCTGAGTCTGTTCATATTATTTCTCAATTTAGTAAATTATTCTGCCCAAAGCATAAAAGTTTTCTTTGCTATAACTGGCATTTGCATGTTCAGGTATATATTGTGTCTGCAGGGCTATATGGAGTCAGAAATGGCTCTAAATTTTGTGAAGGGAAGAGGCTTAGAAAGCCAGGATGTCGCCACACTGGACCACCTGTTTGCTGCATTTTAGTCCCGAGTCTGCAACCGAAATTGTCTGTCATTCTTGTTTTTTGCTTTGTTTTGTCTCAAGAAAGAAAGAAAAAAAAATGTGTTGCGCTCCCCTCAGTCCCTGAGACCCTAACTTGTGATGTTTACCGTTTAAATCCACGGGTTAGGCTCTTGGGAGCTGCGAGTCGTGCCTTTGCCTCGCTGAAGGAACTTTTTGTCTTTTAAGTAAAAAAAATAGAAAAGAAAGTTTGTCAGAAGTGCTGAGAGTACACCTCTGAGGCTTCCATTGTTAGATGGGATCAGGTGACCAGAGTGGGGCAGCTCCTGGCTTCTGTTGAAGTAGACAGAGACTATTAGCATCCTGTGTTGGCTGCTATGGACGCCTGTGTACATGGCTGACACCGAGGCTGGTGGAAACTCATCGGCAGGGTCTATTCCTTGAGAGCAACACGCAGTACTACCAGAGCGTAACACCAACAGCTCAGTACCTGGTGGTTGACCTCAGAACATCTCAGCTGAAGTCCCAGCATGCCCCATGCCTCCAACTTTTAAACTCAACAGTTAATCTCAAAATTATGCTCAATTAAAATGGGCATGAGAATATATGTTATGTGCATTGTCCACACATGTGTCGTACATGGCTAAACAGTGGTTTCACTGACATAGGTACGCTAGAACCACTGGTTTGGAATAAATTAATAGATTAAATATTCAACTCTTGTATTCAATACAAAGGAAGGAAATTAAGAGATTAGGAAATATAAAATAATGTGCTAGTTTTCAAGATTTCTTAAACACAAAATGGAAGGAGATAAGCGGCCTCTTTGGTTTGGTATCTCTTTAAAAATGCTATGCTTGGTGAGTTTAAAGGTGATAAGAATAGGAATGGATTTTCTAAATATTATGGAATGAAAGAAATAGCTGGGTGCATTTGATACTGCATTCTTTGGGGGGGGGTATCAATGCCTATGACTCTCTTTAGAAGCCGTAAGGATTTTTTTTTTTTTATCGGGATTTTAATTCAACGGGACAAAGTTATTGGAAATAACAAACCACATTTAAAATGATCCTCTCTTGAGGCAATTGTTAGCATTTCCTAGTTTGTTGTTTTCTGGGATTATAACTTTTCATGGCAGGGTAATTTCAGTGATTGAGTCTGCCTCACACTGGGGGTGAAGGGCACAGCTTACCTTCCCTTTGTTGCAGAAGATCTGGGCGTACAGTTTCCTTGAAACAGTTACTCCTCTCAGCCCAACCTTTCTCTCCATTTTTGGAAAATACCTAAATCAACCCAGACTCCAAATGCTTTCATCCTTGAAAGATTTTGTAGCGGTTGTAACCTCATTGCACACACAGCGTGGAAGGTGAAGGAAGCTGCTCTCATCCTATATTTAAGGGCTTATCTCAATTTTACTCATTTACTCAGAATTGTAGTCAAGAAAGCATTTTGCATTGGAACGCTGAACTGAGAAGTGTGCAACAATTGTGCCGTGCCTTTTGTTGAAACCTCTTCTTCGGCTGTAATTTAACTATTCCTTGGCAGCCTTTGATAGAATGTGCTTCAAAGCTTATAGTCATTTAAGAGATTTTCTATTAATTTATACGGAATGATTAATATTCCCCACCCCATTTCAACTAATGTACATGCATACCTATGTGAAAATTATGGCGGGGCATCAGTTTAACTTATGGGTAATATAGTATCACAGCACACAAATGCAAGACTGGCAAACACTCGGTGCTTTTTGAAGGCAAAATATGTATGCAGCTGACGTGACAGAAAGGTGTGCATGGATCAATAAAGATGTGATAGATGTAATTTCTCTGTGAGTTCCAATGATCGAGGAACAGAATTCAACACAAACGTTGCTGTTTGCACTAGGCGGCTCTCCTGCTTTCTCCACGTTTTCAAGTGGATTGCTCCCCGTGCTCAGGCTGCTACTGTAAAGCTGGTTGCCCAGGCATTCAGCAGTGCTCGCGACGACACAACAGATTTTTATATTTCAGCAGGCAACTGCTCGAATGCAAGGGCAGGTTTCTCAACACCCCCTCTTCCTCATGGAGCACATCAGCGAAGTTCAGTGAAATGAATAACATAATTGGTGGTTGGTTCAATCACTACCAGTCTAGACTAGCCCAGACGCATCAATTAGAGGGGACTGTCTTTTAAAGGGAGAGTGTAACCGAAACAAGCAGGCTATTATTGATACTGATCTTTAAAAGCACAAATCCAGCCTGGCAGATAAAAAAAAAAAATAAGGCGGGGAGCTGCAGTTGGGGGTGCACCGGGGGAAGAAAAGAGACCGAGGGAACTGGAGCTCGGGGCGCAGAAGGACAGGAAGCTGGAGAGAAAGGGAGGGATAATGAGGGGAACTCAGTCCTGTACCTCCTTGGAGCAGTTACAATTCAGTTCACAGGGCGCAGTGGCTCACTGTATTTTTAACTAGCACGCGCGCGCGCACACACACACACAAACACACACACACACACACACACACACACTCCTTCACTAACACTACCAGCTCCTTTAAAAAAAAAAAAAAAAGTCCTTCATTTTTGCAGGCTCCAAACCAAAGAAGTGGAAATCTAACAGCTTTCAGAAGCCCTACTGATAACAAGAAGAACCAGCTGAATCCCTTTTGCAATGTTTACCCCAGAGAAAAATATAGAAAATGCTTAATTTTCAAATCTCTAATTCTTTTTTGTTTGGTTTTAAGGAAGCATGCTAGAGAAGAGTACTCATTTTAAAATCTGGCACCTGGAACCAATTTTATGGGCAAAACACCTTTATACAAAAAGTTTACAGTTTTCCATTGAATACGGTAAAGTAAGAATGTAACAAAAGGCTTTGGTGATTTGGTAGTTTTTTTTTTTTTTCCCCTCTTCTTTTCTGGGGGAGAAAAACAGATGATTTAGAAAGTGTTAGGAACGTATCAAGCCCCAGGGAAAGAAAACGTTTGATTGGTATTAATTAAAACACTGCTAATATATTCTAATAAAATCAGATTTAACATTCTAAACTAATCCGCCTAGCATGTCAAAGGCAAAGAAAAGTATTATCTGTCTTATTTGCATCTGGGCAACTCGCATGCATTTGCTCATTCGGCAGAATTAATTTCTTCCACCAGTCTATTAAATCTTCTCACAGATTTAGACAAACTTCTTCTTTCAGACTGGACGGGAGCGGGATGGGGAAACCATGGAAGGCATTTGGAAGGCTAGTGACTGGATTTAGGGCCCGTTTTCTGGCTGCACATAGTCTTTTCTCCTCATTTGATATAATGGGGCGTGGAAAACAGCAGGACTGCAGAATGATAAATGGCTCAGGGAAATTTTTTTTTCTTTCTCTGCTTCTACCTGCTGGATTATTTAAAACATTCAGTTGCCAAATTATACAAATGGCATTTATTTTCGCTGTCAGCCTGTTCATCAACATCTAATTTTTGTTTTTTTTAATTTCAGAATCCATTTTATCACAGATTCCTAATGGAAAATAAACGAATGAATGAATAAATAAATAAATAAATAATTGTCCTTATACCAGAAACCCATCATCTTTTCTCAGCTATATTTTTTTTAAACTTCAGTCCTAAGGGCAAGTGAGAAAAAGAGTGTAAAATTTTATTCACCAAGAGCTGAGTTCTTTGTTCTATTTTTAAGTCAGCTATTTCTCTGGAAGAATTCCATATTTTTATGGAGCATGGCATTTCAGCTCTTTATTGCTAAGCTCCCTCAACTGATAATATTGTCCTCAGATGGTATGATAGCCAAAATGTTTCTCCTGAAACTATGATAGTCCATGCAAATATGAGCCTAACACAAAAAGATGAATGGGCCGGAAATGCTGAGGACCATATGGGTGTGTTGCCACAAGGAGGGAGTCTTCAGGCTGTGGAGAGGTGGGCTGGCTGCAGCCTGCACCAGGGAGGTGGCTGCTGACTTCTTCCTCCATTGCCTTTTCAAGTCTTCAAGGTAAAAGAGCAATCGCAGTTTGGTTTCACTTGTATTGTTCTATAATCCAGGCAATAAATGCTAATTAGTAATGCTCAAGGATCCGACCATTCAGAGTAATTATCATAATTTACTTCTTCCTCGTTAAAGACATTCCTTGCTTATTTAAAAAAAAAAAAGAGTCGTCCCTTACCCATGGCACTGCAGTGGGTATTCATTAGGGAGATGTTCAAGGTGTACTCAAAGCCTCTTGGCTGCATTGGAAGTCCCTGACATGCGCCGTGTCTTATTCGGAATGGAGCTGCAACTTGATTTCGAAGATGGAATTCATATAAGTGCATCAGACTCTGCACATGCACCAGGGATGTATGATTTTATTTTACACACCCCAAGGCTCCTCCTTCAGGGCCCACCCCTTTTTCTAAAACCACTTCTGAGCAGAACAAAGGAAAGCAGTAACTACAGAGGCGTCATTAAATGTGAGCAGCCACTGCACTGTAAAGCGTGCTATGACAACATATTTCATGGCACAAAGGTGCAGATAATTAAATAATTCAACAGCAACCCCGGCTAATTAGCAGAAAGACCGGTAAAGAGGAATCAAGAGAAAGAATCCAATCAACTTGAAGAATATGCTTCCTTCTCTGAGATCTCAAAACCCATTTTAGTTGTTTTGGAGATTGATTCACGTAGGGCGTGAGGACAAAAGCCAGTTCCTCAAAGCAGAGCTTGGATCTTCTTCAGACACACGAACTGGATGTGTGCCTTGGATGATCTGAATTTAGTGTAAGGCTTTCTGTTTGCAGTCAAAGGGGTAGCATGCCACTCAGAGGCACGTCTCTTTTATCTATATATCTAATAGATGGCTACCCGTAGCTTGTCAGTTGGCTTCCTCAATATGTATGTAGCCTCCCCCACAGTTTCTAATGACGCATGCCGAAGTTCCTTCTTGCTTGAAGCAAGTATCATGTTCACAGTACAGCTAGAGTAACTGTACTTGGTGTTCTCCAGGATAATACCCCCTCCCCATTTCCTTTGTAAAGGTGTTATTCTCGGTGTTCATTGTTCACCGGTCCTGCAGGCAGGAGCTCCAGTTTTAACTTGAGGGCTATGCTTATAGAATACATTAGAAGAGTAATTCCCCTTGGATACTGTACAGAAGGAGCCACCTGCAAAATGTTGATGCTGTTATTGAAGTCTCAAGTGGAATCAGCTTTCAAAAAATTAGATATTAGATACATCCGATATAATTTGCAATCTGTAATTATACTAATGTGCATATAGCTGCGCCTTGCTTTACGTGTGGCCTACTTGAGGTTGTCACCCGCCCCCACCCTTGGGCCTGTCTCGTCTCTTGAAATTGCTTCTGAGTAGAACGCTTTTTAAGCCAGCTTATTTTTTTTTTAATTCCTTGTTAATAACATAAGAATAAAAGGACTTTGCAGCCTGTGTGTTTGTGTGAGAATGAAAGCAAAAAAAAAAAAAACCTAGCTGTAGAGAACGGATGATCCCTCTAAGGGCTGTCGCTGGAGACACTTGAATTCTCTGCAAAATATTTGCAGTTCTTCGTGGATCATTTACTCTCAACATCTAGGTTTTTGCTTTCATTCTCACACAACCACACAGGCTGCGAAGTCCTTTTATTCTTATATTAATTAACAAGGAATTAAAAATATAAGCTGGCTTAAAAAGCGTTCTACTCAGGAGCAATTTCAAGTGATGAGACATCCCTTATCCTGACTTTGGATAACTTGGAAATGCAGAGAACATCAGAGTAGTAAATATTACTCCTAAGGAGTACATTTCCTTTGTTGGAATTAGAGAAATGGCATTAGGCAGGGGTAATAGTTTTCAACTTAATCAAAGTAATCAAACCATTGAGAATAATAAACAATTGCTTTTCTGTTTCCCCCTCCATTCTGCATGTCACATAATGAGTAACTGAACCGCTTTCTCACTAACCTCAGTTCCCTTTTGGGGTTTCATCGTGATTCCAGAGGTCTCTGGTTGGCTCCGCTGGGGAGTCCCCTCCAGCAAGCTGCCCCCTGAAGATCTACCTATTAAGCAAAAGAACCCAGGCAGAAGCACCGTGACTTGGCTGGTCAGCCTGGCTCCGGGCTGTGTGCAGTAGGTGATGCGACTGTCAAGACAAATCTGGAGAATTATTGCCGAGCAAGGCAAGGGGAGGGTCTCGCTTTCTGCTTCTGCATTCAAATCACAAAAGGATCCCAAGAGACCCTTATGTTGAGCAGAAGAACACTACTTAGTACAATTTGGTAGGTACAGAACCAAAAACTGAAGTTGATCTGTGAAGTTTTTAACGCAGGACAAACATGTGAAATCTGTCCATCCCCATGCTATCTGCTGCATAGGCATTCCTCAGATTTCCTTCTGAGAGCATCTATAGTATATAAAAGCCATTTTTGCATGGATTGGATCCATACAACTCCAAAGTGACATATAGGTTTTTTAATCTTCTCCCATATTCTCAGACTTTCCATTGTTCACTATCTACATAAATCATAAAAGTATTAAATGCAATGTCCTTCCTTAATACAATACCATGCTAATTCACAAATGAATATTACATGTATACCAAACACTTAGTACCCCTTCCTCTATATTATTGTTTATAAAATACATTGTCCATTCACATTATTTAGAACTAAGTCATCTACCAGTTAGATCTCCCCTCTGGAGAGCCAGCATCGTCAGTGTACTCAGTATTTAGTACAGCGATGAGTCCTGGTACTTCCCATTCAGTGTGCCTTGCTCATTGATGCATTTCCATTGTCTGGGATAATGGAGAAGCGGATGTCAAAGGCTTTAGTTAAATTAAAGCCACCTGCACAGTTGATCTCCTTCACCACAGCTCCTGCCGAGTAAGACCCCTCTTCTCAGGCATCCCTATCTGTGAAGTGAGCAGGTCAGACCAGGAAGATTCTCAGTTCTTACAGCTCTCAGGAATTGTTGAAGCTATTCTCCAGCCCAGGGGCAATCGGAGCAAGGCCAGAGCCACAAACCCAGAGTCTGCTGGCATCATCAGTTGTCCTTTTACGTCACACCTGACTCCACCTCCAGTCTCAGTATTTACTAATCTGGTTTGCCCCATTGAGAAAGCACTAAAGATCGGAGTTCATTTTCAGGAAGGAATGGTGACTGAAAAAATAGCAGCCTAGGGGCCAAACAAAAGAAAATAAAAATGAAAATAAAGCTACCCAGTGGGAGAAGTGAATTCTTCATCCCTGTTATAAACCTACATCCTTCAACGTTGACTCAGAAGATACCCAGACAGACACCTGCCCTTCGGTTATAGGCCACACCCTATCCCCATCCCTTCTGCTCGCCTGTCATTCCTTGTAGTGTGGCTTGTTTCCTCCATGGGATTAATGCCTTTACGTTTTGTGTTTTGTGTTCCTCTTGATTCATTTGGATTGTAGTAACGTCCTTTTCATGGGCCTACAATGGTCACTTGACCAGAAAACACTTTCCAAATGAAACACTGACATCTTCAACGCCACCTGGAAATGGCCCCGCCTCTTTTTCTGTAGGAGCCCTTTTTAAGCCAGACTTGCTTCCCCAGTCTCACCATAGTGTGCTTATATCTGACTAATTTTCTTCCTGTGGGCTGCAGTATTCCAGTAACTACTGCCTCTTCCATTACTTTCTCCCCTCTTCCCTTTCTCCTATTTTCTCCCCTTTTCTTCCCTCCATTTCCTCTCCCTTCTTCCATTCACACATCTTTCCCCTTCCTTTTCTTTTCCTTTCTCTTTCTTACTACTCTGCCCCCTCCCCCTTCTCTCCCTTCTTTCCTTTCTCCCTCTTTCTTTTTCTTTAAGTACCATGGGCCAACTTCTATGCCAGGCACTGGAAATACCAAGGTAATTTCAAGGGGTCAGCAATTAACATCCAATAGTTCCAGGGTCTTCCTTAACTCCTGCATTGTTAAACAGCTAGGCACCTACACCAACTTAGTTTACCTTCATTCCTAGGAGTTATTTGAACGTGCCCTGTGTCCCGTTGTCTTTTGCTCTCTGCCTCTGTGTCCTATTTCCGCGAGGGTAGACTTGAAGCACTCTTCTCAGGGTTCTCATGTCAACACTGGGACAAGGCCACTGCTTGACTGATCCTTGAGCAAGGGGAACAATGAAGAAAAGCCACTTTCTGTTGTTCAAGTGATGTAGCCCTTCTGCTGTGGTCGGAAATAGCATTGGTCTCGAAGTGGGTCACAAATTCATTTTCATTAAACAGTTGATGTGATCACTGTCTGTGATGTGTTCTGTTATCTCTTTAGTTGTACTAATGTTCCTTTCAGCTTGTCCTATAACCCCTTCCTCAGGAGTGTCTCCCAAGTGAAAGGACACAGACTGCGGGGACTGCCAGCCTGATGGGCGCTCGTGCCAGCTGTGAAGCTTTGAAACAAAGCAAGTGACCACCTGAAGATACCCCTCCTGCCCAGCAGCCCCCCACATGATGCAGTTGCAGCCAACAGTCATCTTGAAAAGAAACAGAAAGACCCAGACCATTCATGAGTCATAAATTTGCCTTTCCTCATGTGCATTTGTCTGTCTGTGTTCAGATTCACATGCCATCTAGTTTTGAACCAAGTATGGATAGGAGTATTAGTCTGCTTGGGTAAAGGCAACTTTCCCCAGGTGTGTTAACGTATGACGAGACTGGATTTTCTGGGAAGACTGGTGTTCAATCAACATATAGTATTTGTTCTTGAACAAGATCCAGAAAGTTCAAAACAATGTCTCCACAGGTGGCCCACAAAGACACTCATGCCACCACGCAGAAACACAACATCATGCCCCCAGACTCTGAGCGGCAAGTTTGACACCGTGACATATAGCAGCTGCTTCCAAGGGTGGAAATCAAACTGGGCAAGGGTATCCTAGCTACCCAATATGTAGTGATAAAACTGATTCAGTTGACAATAAGAGCAGAAATAAAACAAAAGACGATGGACTCAGAAGAGGCCAAGTTGATTTGCCTAAGGGAGAATGTTGCCCTAAAGAGAAAATATGAAGTGAACCTGAAAGAAGGTTAAAAGAAAAGTGTTGCATAAATGGGAAGGTAGGAGAAAATAGAGTCCTTAAAGTGGACATGATAGTATGCAAGGGCAGGGCATAGGAAATCCTCAGGGTGAGTTTTGAAGGTGGCAAATACGTCAACATGACTCCCCCCAGTACTCAGCACCCCTCTCTGTGCGTCTTATAAAGATGGTGCACACATGTATCTTCCCTTTCATACCCCAGACATCACCTAAGCCCAGCTAGAACTAAAGCTCCAGTTCTCTGTCACAAGAAAAAGAAGAAGGCAGTTGGTGGCACCTGCGTAGAACTCACGATTCTTTTGTTCATAATTGCTAGTTACCAAATTTCTTCAATTTGTGAAGCATTTTGCTTAAGAAATTTCACGACAACTATGAAAATCATACATTATTCTTGCTTCTTAGGTGATTAAACTGATATTGATGAGGCTAAGTGCCTGGCCGAGGTGCTAGGTGCAGCTATGAACATTCAAGGCTGTGGTCACAAAACTCATGAGCTGAAGTCTGAAGCCAGAATTTTGTGATCAGTGCCAATGCTGTTGTCCTTTTCCCCACAGCCCTTAACGTCTATCTGTGCAAACAACTCGCTCTTCTGCTTACTGATGGCCTCAATGGTTTTGCATGTGAATTACACGAGAATGATAAAAATGTGTTTTCACAACAGAAAATTGAGCATTTAGTGGAGGAGAGCCTGCCAACAGTCTAGATATTTCCTTTGCATTTTGGTCAGACATCATGAGACTTTTGACACAGATACCTCTTACAATATCTCTTTGACAGAAAACAAATCTAGAGTCTGTAAGAAAAGTAACTTAAAGAAAAATCCCAAACAGCTCAAACAAACAAAACAAAACAAAACAAAACAAAACAAAACAAAACAAAACAAACCACATATTTGTAAGTGGCCCAGAAAGGACAAGAAAGTAGGCCTTCAGTTGTCTTTCAATGGCTTTTAAATGATTCCACCCTGCCCCAAAGAAACACATACTTCTATTTAATTAAAGGAGGTACCATGTCTATGTGATCAAGGAATGTCTCATAGACCAGATTTAATAGATCTCTCCATTCCCGTCCCCTCTTTGGCCACTTCATGTCAGTGTGAAATACAGCTATGAGCTAGTGTATTTGGGTCAAGAAGTTGTCAATAATCTGTCCCCAAGGAGTATCAAATAGCTACAGTTGTATGCATACTGTTTCATTAATGATATTCCCAATCATGGAGTCATTGGTTCACCTGTACAGGTTCAATTTCCCATTGGACATCTTCTCAATCCACTTGGCCAGTGTTCCACTTTTGTAAACGCTGTGAGTGCTCTTACCCATGGCTGTCTCAGTGCTACTTAAGTGTTAACAATGACCCCTAGTCATTTTGTGTTGTAATCCTCGTTTATTCGTATAACTAATTCAAAGATATTTGGTCCATAAAAATATAGAACTAAAAATCCCATTCTTGCTTCCAGCCCCTCTGCCTTTGATTGACATTGAGCAGTGATTAATAAAGCGGCTGGCTACATAACATAGATGCCCAAATTGTGATTTTTGTCTTCAAGGGGACAATTAAGCTAGGTCTACTAAGGGACAGATGTTTAACTTTTGGAGATACCTGGATATTTAACCGATGTAACGTTTTACTTAGCTGTTTGATGTTGTCATATGCAGTCCCCATCATGGTTCTGGCTGTCTTGTTTTTTCAAACTATTTGTTGGCTCTGTCTCACACTGTTCTCACTGAGTTCATAAATAAACAGGTTTGTTGTGAATGAGTAGCCCAAGCACAAAGTGTGACTTTGTTGACATTTTATGAGACTTTTCTAGGTCCTTGACTCCAAATAAAAGAAAGGTTGCATTAACTGTGAACTTGTGTTGATTTATTGGAAAAGACAGCTCTTATAGCTTGCTTTCACTTGCATACGTATAAATCAAAACTAGTTTGTGATCCATAAGGACCAAATATCTAATTAGACAAAAAATGCTAAGTTAGAGACAATTTCTAAGTTATCCCATATCACCTTTAAATGCTATCTATGGTCATCTGTTCATGTTAGAAACCCATGTTCAGTCTTTCCTTTTCACATGCCATGGCGGGGAGTTCAGGGTTCCCCTTTGACTTTCCCTTTTTTCTTCTGTTCAGATAAGTGTGCTTCTTCCCATTTTCTGTGCTAACGAAGTAAGAAAACATCTTTTCCCATCTGGAACACTGCCTCATCCTACTAGGATTTCCCCATAGAAGTGTCGAGTGGAACTCAGAGAATTCTCCGAATCATAACATCATTCTCCCAGGGTTAAAACTCTTTGTAATTACCGTTGGCCTTAAGATGTCATGGCACTGAGAGAACTTGCTGTTCTGGTTCCTTCCTCCAGCAGGGCTCTCTCAAATCAAATCCCCATCTACCTTTCCCATCATGGGCACAGACCGTCATCTCTGTCTGCTCTTCCTCCCTTCATCTCCTCAGTTTTCATGCATGGAACCTTTTGTCTTTACCTCTCCAACATCCCTTTCAAATTCTACCATCTGTTCTTCAAGTCTTAACCCAGCAACCATTTCCTTTCAGAAGACTCCATCGTAGACATCACTAATTACCCATATACTGACTTCTTCACCAAGATGCACTCTGTTTTATTGGTCATTTTCCCCTCTATCAATGATGATTTTAAAACTAGGGATTTTCATCTGAACTATGAACACAAAAGCATGACTTGTATGGTTATACTCTGAATTGTCCCATGATTGAAATATCATACGTACTGGACTATCAACAAAGGACATTAACTTGTTAGCCGTAAAGATGCCCAGAGCACTAGCAAAGAAGGATCGCTGAAAAAGTATGCAGCGGCCATTCATAGTGCAATGTTAGGTCCTCCCACAATATCTGTGGATTGCATGGCTCATTTGGATCCTTAGCAAGATGTAGTTTGATCTCTTTTTTCCCGAGCCATGACGCTACTATGTAAGAGATATATCTTTGGATATGTAAGGACTCCTTCCTTGTCTTGAGGATACATAGTCACGGGTGATTCCCGTCCGTTCATCCCAAGGATAACTGAGTGGTATTACCAATAGGATTAGCAATGACTTTGTTTTATGCATCCACAGGCAAACCAGAGAAGAAAATGGAGCTCTTACTTAGTCCGTAAGGTCAAAATGACAGTGACTCAAGTAGACAATAGATTTGACCAGCCCTATGTTAGTGGAGGGTTAGACAGATTTTATTAAAATATTAATTATTTATTGGGAACATGTCTATTGCATGTATGGCATATACCAGCCAGGTCCTTATTGGATATTAGGAAAACAGCAGGAAATAGGACAAACGTGGCTGCTGTATCTATAGTGAATGATATGAATGGAATTATTTTAGTTACTTAGCAGCACCCAGTAAATGAGTTCTCACACTCAGTTGCCCTTGGTCACTGCCTAGGGTGTTTGAATACTGACACTCAGGTTTCTATTTTTTTCCAAAGCTCTTATAGAGCTTTGAATAGGCAGATAAAGCTGAGAATTTGTGACCTATTGGGATACAGTATTACAAGGTGCTCTGACGTCAGGCCCGGGAAGCTGAAGCAGAAGAACTGCAAACACAAGCGCTACCTGGAGTATAGTGAGCTCAGGCTCAGCTCGGGAAACTGAGACCTCGTCTCAGAACAAAGCATTAAGGAAGGCTAGAAATGGATGAAACCCACTGGTAAAGACACTTGCCTAGCATGCGCTAGGCCCTACCTCCAATCTTCTGTACAATGAGTAAATAAGCCAAACAATACTAAGAAAACTAAGAATTTGGTGTTGGCAGTTGATATCAGGTTAGAGCCGAAAGGGGGAAATTTAAATTCATTTGTTTAACTTATCTTCATTTCATTTTTTTGTCAAATTACTTCAGAAGACAAATCAATACTTAAGTCACTGAGTCGACCAGTGTTGCAAGATAATGACTCAGATATGAGCCAAATTAGTTTCTAATTTTAACAAATACTCTTTGCTATAGTAAACTGCCCCAGGAAATAAAATTACCTTCAAACCAGGAAAGAACCAGTATCCACAAAATCATGATTTTTAAAAGTCAAACATCAAATATGAGCACCATAAATTCTCTTTGCTAAAAAAAAAAACCCCACATGTGCACATATGTATAACACACACACACACACACACACACACACACACACACACACTCCAAGAACAGGAGATCAGGTCTCCAGGCGGTCTAACTGCTTTCCTGCAAAGATCAACGTGCCTCCATGTCCAACTGCACTCTTAACTAGGAAGGATGCTCTGCCTTGGAAGAGCAGAGATGACGGTGGGAAGAGAAAAATGGAAGAGCGCACTGTGCTCTTGTATCCTTGCTCCCCGCCTATCTCATTTCACGACATTCCATTCTGTTTAACGCTTTTCAGCATAGGTGAAATCTGTCAGTCTGTCTCCAATTAGCAAATAACTACTGCTTTAAAAACAGCTTCGGTGACCTGTCCACCGTGCCCAACTTTCAGGTTCTTCTTATGTGAAGAACTGTGAAGAACATCCTGGAACTCTCTCCACTAGTTCTCGTTTTCACAGCATGGAAGACCACATGGGGAAATCTGTCTTTCCATTTTCTAGCCCAGGGGTTCTCAACCTTTTTAATGCTGCAGCCCTTTAATACAGTTCTTCATGCTGCGCTGACCCCCAGTATAGATTATTTCCATTGCTAGCTCATAACTGTTATTTTGTTACTGTTATGAATCATAATGTAAATATCTCTGTTTTCCAATGACCTTAGGTGAGCCTTACGGAAGGTTCCTTTGACCTCCTAAGGGGTCGTGACCCACATGTTGAGAACCACTGTTCTAAAGCCATCAAAAATCAAACCAGTGTGTACACACTTCCTTCGGCACACGTTTTGGTGTTTGAGCATCTACAGAGTTGGGAAATTCTTATTCCTGTTTCAATTCCCTCACGCTGTTGTTTAATCCCATTTTCTCTTGTTCCCCATGGAGAGAAAAAACAGCTGGCTCCCATTCTTTCTAAATTCAATCTCTTCATGAAGACACCTACCTCTCTGCTCTCTCTTTTCTGGGATGAATAACAATTTCCCATCAGGAATCATCTCTTGGATTGTGCGTGCTCACTGCCATGTCAGTATATGCATGGTCATTGCATAATGTTCTTATTTCCAACAAGCTAAGGCCCAGCACAAAAAAACAAGCGCATGGATTATTATTTTCATGAATGAAGTTATAGGTCCAATAACAGACAATGAATAAATAGTTGAGGACGATTGTCTTCTCATAATCACAGGTCAAAATCTATCATATTTTCTTGTACAAAGTATTGACAAGCTACTGCTTTGGGGAAGGTACATTAAAAATTTAAATGACCAGGTTTCAATTTCCTTAAAGGGAGTCCCCCCCATCCTGTGCCCTACAATGGAATATTCCATTTGACATTCCACAGCAGGAGCCACCATTGCTTGGACAAAAATAGATACAGTATAGAGCATTCAGTCAATGGAGTAATCCAATTGTCTGAACATTCTTCTCTGCTTTGTCATTTACATTTTAATAAATCCCAGAATACATCAAGCTGTCCTGCATTGCACGAGTGTGGCTAACCACGTGTAGTTACCATATGCAGTTAGGAAATCCAAACATGCAACTCCTCTAATGTGCCAACATTTGCTTTGCATAGATTTTTTTTCCAGATCCTTCTATGGTACAGAAATACACTCCCAAATTGAAAACCAATATTTCTCAATACAATTGCTGTCATCCACTGACATCTCATTAGTATATTCAGATTTTATAAATAAGGGAAGCTGTAGGGTAGAGGGTGGGTGTGCCATTAGGTGATCTTAGAGTTTTAGCACCTGTGAACTCCAAAAATGATTCTACAGATGGCAAAAAAAAAAGAAAAAAAAAGACATATACCTATTTCTGTCAGTTTCCTTTCTGTTCACTGAGTAAGTTCATATAACCACATTTTAAAGTCACTTCACATCCCACACTACCAAAATCCCAGGCAAACCAGCCTTAACAGATGTGTATGTGTGTGCGCATGTGTTTGCATGTGCGTGTGTAATTATTTTTATTAATCTATATGCATAACTTAGTTCATGCATATATTGGCCACCAGCTGCTTCAATGTGTTGAGACATTTGTTTCCCTGGCTTAACAGAACCCCGTGAATTTTTATGTTGCGTCAGAGCTACAGTGATGGAGTGGCTTCAGCACGTTGAAGATTGTCAGGTGGCATATCTGTGGTTAGGAGAGATGTCTGAATAAAGAACTCTGGAATAATCTCCACTCTACTATATATATTAGATAATAATATATTATATATTACTACCTAGAGTGATATATTATTATATTAATAATATACTATCACACATTAATTGCAATAATATATTGTGTATTATATAATATATAAATATATAGTGCAGGATATATAGCATAGCATATATTACTATATATTATATATAACTCTACTTTAATATATTAAATAGTTATATATAATATGTGTCAACATATTATATATTAGTAATATATATTATATATACTAGCAATATGTATGATATATATATATACTAGTTATATATACACACACATATATATCTTACATCTCAGGCATGAGATTTAGGTCTAATTTTGGTTACATCTTTTGTCCAGAATTAGCTAAGTTGTTTAATCTTGCCCACTAGAAACTCTCATTGTAGGTTTCTCCTCTAAACTTTCTGATTACTGTTTGGAGTAATAATTGCCAAAAGTCCAGTGCTATTTCCAACATCAGTGAATCTGCTCACTTTTGAACTTGAAATGAATTCAAGTGCTAAAGGGACCCTGGAAAGAGTTCACTTTCTTACCGATGCTCGGATTGGTTAAAATGCTTC